AAAAAATCAGATGACTTCAATAGCTCTATTTGGAAAAAAAAATCAATGATTGGAGTGATTTTGTAGCTGAGTAAATCAGCATAGGAAATAAACAAATTACAAGCATAGATAAATAACACAACAAAGATACAAATTAAATAAGCATTTATATTTTTCAGGTCAGTCTAACAGTATTCAGGTACAGAAATTGAATAATCAAATGTAAAATAACACTGCATAGTTTTCACTATAAATTAAATCTAATAAATCTGTGTTAAAGCTACAAAAGTTATTTTTCTTTGTGTTTTGTTGTTTGATTAACGTTCATGACAGAGAAAGCAACAGGAACATTAAACTGCTGTGAACCAATATACTGTTACACATCCATTTTCTTTCTCAATTGTTTACCTTCACCTAAACCATAAGCAACTGTGTTTACAAAGATACTTGCAGAGCACAGTATTTCATGCACAAATAGACGCAGAAGTGAACAGAAATCAGTGTTCACGTGCATCTGCGTGGCTCTCACCATGTCTACACCGGACGTGAGCGGCGCGGCTCGAAGCAATGCGACAAAACACTATGAACCCATTATAATCAGTAATGCTGTCCGTCTACACTGGATGTGGCGTGACAAATCCCCGAAAGTAAACTGATGCCTCGTCTTTTTATAGGGTACTGACACAAAGTTCAAATGATTGGCAACGGTCACTTTGTGGCGTCCAGTGTAGACAGGCTTTGGGGCCGCTCACATGTCGCGCCTAAAAACGCGTGGAAAACGTCCAGCCGCGCCCAGTGTTGCCAACTGCTTTCAATTGAAAGTAGCTAAAACTGGTAGCTAAATGTCACTAGATGACATCACAATGGCAAATTCACTGATCTATATAAAGATGAACGTAGATCAGTGGGCAAGATGAGAACTTAGATAAGGTTTGTCCAAGCAGTTGCTATATTTGTCCCTAAACTTTTGAAAAAAGTCTCAAAAGGGGCGGGGAAGTCGCTAAATCTAGCTACAAAGTAGCTAAATTGGCAACATTGGCCGCGCCGCTTTCTCCTTCTTTCCAAAGCACTCGGGAGCTTGCGCTTTCGTGGCGTCGGCCGTTGCTAAGCAACCGTGACCTGCGCTCTCCACAACGAAGCGGAAGTTTCAACAAAGGATAAATGGATTTCCAGCACTGAAAATCGCTTGCAGTAACTCTGCTACTAAATGCATTTAAAATGGGTATCTCTGTACAGCTGTCGCATCCGGTGTAGACACCGTGTCTGTGTGTGAGCAAAGAAAACAATCAGTATAAATATAATGATCAGTATACTAAACATCGCACATCCTGCGATGTGACTATCGTGGATGCGCACATCGCGATATCGATGCTGAAACAATGTTCTTACATTCATTCATGCAGGACACATAGAGGACTTTGGCCTTCTTCACTGCCTCAATATCATCTCCTCCGATGGGCTGCTCTAACAACTCTGTGGCACAAAGATTCAACATTAAAGCACCATATTTGGGCTGAAGGTTTATTTCGGTCAGAATAATGTGGATCAGTGCACCTTTCAGCCTGAGGTCTACATTCTGTCTGAGCCATGGGTAAATCCGGAATGGGGTTGTCCCGGAGCCAGCCTCCGCATGCATACAGGTAGAAATCATCACATGGTTCTACTGACTGATCCATCTTACTCAGGATGGAACCGGCTAGAGAAGACACATCACCAAACACAGATTCAGCATTACAGTAATCTCAAACAAGTAAACGCACCGTTTCAACTAAACAGAGGCTTTTCTAAATGATAATGCCTGCTTATTATGTTCAAAGTAAGAGTGAGTGCAGTTTAGGGAATTGCGAATGTAAGTGGTTGCCTGCTGGCTCAAGTTTTAAAAAAGTCCCCATTATATTCTAGAGTCTATATGGCTTTATGATATAAGTTTACCTGCTTCGATACAATGTGGGGTGAGGCAGAAGTCCGAATTGCTTGCTTTGTGTGACACTACAGGGGCAGAGAAAAAGAAATCTGTCAAGCAGAACGATCAAGACAACTATGCCCTGAAATGACCGCCAATCATGACGTTATGAGCGCACACACACGCATGCATGCACGCACACAGACACACACACACACACACACACACACACACAGACACAGATTTAGTTCCCACTGAGCTCAGGCTTCAGCTGTCCATGCTCTGGATGTCACAGGACAAAAACTTAGTGCATGCTCTTCTACACACATTCCAAACAAGCTACACATCTACAAAGAGGGCTGGCGAAAAGTAACATTACATTATTTGCTTGTTATATGTTATTCCTTAAAAAACAGCTAATTAGGTAACATTCTTAAAAAAATAAGAATTATATATTATATTTTCTTAGTGTGTATGTATCCACTATTACATTGAATAATATTAAATTAAATAACAAAATATTAATGAAATATTTTATTTAATATATAAATATTTTTTAAATAATAATTATTTATTTCTTGCTTTTTTGTATTTAATATAATTAGGTTTTTACAGAATTTAATTTAATTTAATTTAATTTAATTTAATTTAATTTAATTTAATTTAATTTCATTTAATTTCATTTAATTTCATTTAATTTCATTCCCATATAAGAAATGTATCCGTGTAGATGCACTGCTTGCAATGTATACATTTATTTTAATTTAGGCTTATTATAGTTGACTTAAACTAACACTAAATAAATAAAAAAAATAACTTATTTTTTCTTGAAATAAATGTCAACTGAAATCAAATTAATTGTGTGTGTGTGTGTGTGTGTGTATATATATATATATATATATGTATGTATATACAGTATATATATAAAAACTTTTAATTTGAGCTAGTTGACAAAGCAATATTTCTCATTTTGATTTGGTTTAATTTGATGTAATAAAATTACAAACTAAAATAAAAATGTATATAAACTATATACAAATTTAAAAAGCTATAACTAATAAAAATTGAAAAACAAAAAAAAATTGCTAAAACTAACTTCAATTAAAATAAAAAACTAATAATGAAAATACAAGAATAAAAACAAATTAAAATAAAAAAACTATAACAGTATCTCAGTGATACTAAAATAACACTGGTTTGATTTCATTGTGTCATGTACATGGAATTTAAAATTAAATTCAATTTAAAAATGAAAAATATTTATTTTATATATTTAGCTTTTTACAGAACTTTTAGGAACTATATTCCTTTGTAGATGCACTGCTTGTAATGTATACATTTTTGCTGATGAGGATGGCAGGGATCCAGATTTATTACATTTGTCATAAAATGGTGTAAATTCAGAAATCTGGTTACACAATGCTGTGTTATCCCAATATTGTCTGCAAATACGGTGTACATAGACCCTGCAGTAAATTGAATTAATGTAGCAAAATAATAAATACATTTTTGCAATATCCGTTTCAGTGCACTGAAACCCGATCAGCGCAAACTCTCCATGCAGAGGTCAGTGAAGCTGTGTGAATTTGTTTCAGTGAGTTTGACTGAGCACAAATCTGTATATATCTTGTGAAATCAGACAAGCATTGCTTTTAAACACTGTGTTTACGGTTCAGTCCACAACTGGACAGCAGATGACCACAGCAGGATCCAGCACCCGGCCCCATGGGACTGAGCCTCATTATCTCCACAACAAGCAGAGAGAGCCTTGTGTGTGTGTGTGACTGGAATATGTACAGACAGAAATGAGCACAATTACACTCTAGTCTCGCCACAAATAAGCAGGCAGCCCTCAACAACTGAGAACAATAAG